TCCCGAAAACCCGCCTCTGCTCCCCCGGTTCCTGTTCCAGCCTGGCACACGCACACACATGCATACACACACACATGCATACACACACACACATGCATACACACGCACACATGCATACACACGCACAGACACACATGCACGCAGACATGCATACACACGCACACACATGCACGCAGACATGTACACACACACATGCATGCATGCACAGACGCACAGACGCACACACACACAGACACACATGCATGCACAGATGCACACACACACAGACGTACATGCATACACATGCAAGCACAAACACATGCACACAGACACAAACGCGCACACACAGACACACAAATGCAGACACACATGCACAGACACATGCACATGCAGACGCAAGCACACAGATATGTGCACACACCGGACACATGCATACACATACACACACATACAAGGGCATGGCCATAACATCACCCATCACACATTCCCAGGACAGAATGCACACAATACATGAGACAAACAACATCACAAGCGTCCTACACAGCAAACACACAACGAGTGCATAGAGGAGTCCTCTACAAGCACAACCAAAATGTGCCAGTAGAGCAGTGAAAGACAGGAAAGAATCTCTATGCGTGTGGGCTGCAGTTCAGTCTAAACTAGGGGAGCCAATCTATCTGCTTCTCCCAGCTCTTCAGGTGCTGGTGCTCCCTGTTCACACACCCTCCAGTACCAGGACTGGGGACTCCCATCTAAACATTTAATGTCTGCATAAGTAACGAGCAATTGCACTAAATTGATCCTAAATCTTTGCATAGTAGAAATTACAGCAGAAAAGAAAATAAAAAAGCCCACAAAAAATGACATCCCTCAACCCAGCTAATATCTGTCCATCTTGTGATAGTAATTTCCCCAGGGTTTGGCTCCAGAACTCCCTGCTCAAGTGAGAGAGGCTCTGGAGCCCCCCAGCCAGTTCTCACCTGCTCTCCTGCTGCGCCAGCACCATTCCCACCACACACAGCAGGAGGAAGCTCATTCCCACCTTCATCATGTTCTGTCTGTGAGC